CGGCCAAGAGGGTTAAAGTTTAAATACAAACATAGGCACATGAATTTTCTTAGGAAACACTAATGTCACTCAAGTGAAGTTACAAAAACATAAATATGCTTCACTGTATTTAGTGCTATACTAGGTTCTGTGAGAGTTGTAGGTCATCATCTGTCTTCAGAGAATTTGAAGTTACATTGGGGAGACAAGTCTCACATGAAATAAATAGCAGTATGTATGATATACTCTGTGGTGGGGTGCCAAAGTGGCAGTACCTTATCAGACATAAATACTCTAGCAGTGTGAGAACCAAAGACTTATAGAAGGGAAGGGTTTATGGAAGATTGCAATGGTTTTTGTTAGTTATTATGTATGTACATGTTCCCTAAAGCTTAGCTTTTTCCATTTGAAACCATTATTTGCGAATGTAATGAATACTAATTTTAAATGTAAAGTAATTGAAGATTAGATCTGAGGATTTGTCATCAAGCAACTTAAGGAGTGGCCTTGCAACTTATTTATTGCATTGTAATAACCCTTTACACAAAAGAAGAAAACTAAGAGTTTTCAATTTTACTACTTATTACTTTGCTTATTTCACATATAAGCACATAAGAGATATACATGGGATTTTATAAATTTATTGTAAGCCCCCCAGTGTTTCATTCTTAAAAAGAGAACATGACATTAATATTATTGATTGAGCATATATCTTTTGAGTCTCTTCCCCCATATGCCAAGCACCATGTTAGTGTTAATGATATGTTACTGAACAATAGAGACAGATGTTTGTATTTGTCGGGCTCACACTATAGTTGAAGGAAAAAGACAAGTAAAATATATAGTATGTCAAATGGTAATAAACATTATGAAGAAAGGAAAGATGGAAGATAGGTGGTCTGATGGGAAGGGAAAGAGTTTCCAAAAAGATGCTATTTGAGTCTAGAGGAGAGTAAATGAGACATACAGATATTTGGAGGAAGAACAGTCAGAATTGCAGGTACAAAAGCTGTGAAGTAGAAGCATACCTGTTTGTTCAAGGACAGCAAGGAGGCCATTATAGCTAAAGCAGAAGTGGGTAAGGGGGAGCATTTTTGGAGAGGATATCAGAGAGGTAGTGGGAGATGGAGGGGCTTGGAGTGAATATCACAAGAGGCCTTGGAAGCTACTGTAAGAACTCTGGTTTTTACTCTGAGTCAGGAAGTTATTGGAGAGATTTATGCAATGAGTGACTTGGTTGACTTCTTTTAACCCAGATCACTGAGGCTGATACTTTGACAATAGACAAAAAGAAGAGGAGGGAGAGGAAGCAGAGAGACCAGTTAGAAGATTGTTACAGTCCTCTAGACAGGAGATGACAGAGACTATATGAACAGGATGGTAGCATTGGAGGTGGTGAGAAGTGGTCAGATTGCGGATAATATTTTGAGGATGAAATCAACAGGATTAGCTAATGGATTTGTTGTGTGCTATGGGAGAAAGAGGAGTCAAGGATGACATAACAAGGTTTCGCCCTGAGCAACTAGAAGGATGGAGTTGCTAAAGTGAGGAACATTGGGAAAAGAGCAGATTTGGTGGTGGTGCTGAGCAAAGATGATCACGTTTAGTTTTAGAACCGTTAAGTCGGAGATGTCTGTTAGATTGTCTGTCTTTAGCTTGTAAGATTGCCTGAGATCAACAGAACCAAGCGCAAGGGCACTCTAAATTCTGGCCAGCAAAGTAGAAGGAAAACTGAATGAACTGGAAATCCATTTTTTAAAAGTTTTCAAATTCTCCTGAGTGTGATGACCAAGTGAAGAATGTGTTTTAAGGTGGAGGTAGTGATCCACCTGCCAAATACCTCAGAAGAGTAAGGTCAGATAGATTGAGGATTGGTCATTGGAGTTAGCAGCACAGAGGTTATTGGTGACCTTGACAAGTACAACTTTGGTGGAGTGGTGGGGCGAAAGCTTGTTTGGAAAATGCTCAGAGAGGAATTTGAGAGCACAAGTATGACAACTCTTGAGGATCTCTTGCTATAAGGGGGGTGGTAGAAAAATGGGGAAATTATTGTTAAGTGATCATTTAAGTAAACTGACCAAGACCAGAAAAGCATAATTAGTTATTGAGACTTAATTTTTTCAGTCTGTTGCTTCTACTGGTAAATTTGAGCGTGGTTATACTTTTAGAATGTGTGGCAATATTATTGAAACCCAGCAGGTTTTGTGTTTTTTTTTGTTTTTTTTTTTTGCTTTTCCTTTTTTAAATTGCTTGCTCTTGACTCAGTACTTCTGAGATATTCCTTTTCTGTGACCGGTATACATATGTGTGTGTTTTTATAATATATGTCTTATAATAATTACCATTTCTGAATTGTGGCATGTTTAATGTTAAGTAAAGTAAGATAAAGCTAGTAGAAATTTCTTTTAACACTATTCTGAAAAAAGAATAGCAAGTATAGTTAACTAGTATGACTAATAAAATTAAAGTATCCATCAATAGCAGCAAAGCAACGAACTTTACAAATGTGTTGATAGAATTTTATGTGTGTGTGTATATATATATATAAATTTAATCTAGAAATTTTAACTTTCTTTTTTTTTTTGGTTATAGACTGTTTAAAACTCAGTGTTTATACATTTTGGACCTTTCTAAGAACCTTGAATTGAATATACCTTTCAAGACTCTTTTTAGCCATTGAATACAGTTATGCAGAATTTATTACTGAGAACTTGTAAACTTAGGACTACATTGAAAACAAATCTTAAACAAATCTTAAATGTGAGGAAACTTCTGCTTAATTGGATTGTTTTTATTCCGACAGGCATTGTCTGGTTTTCGACAGATTCATGTTATAGACATGGACACTATAGATGTTTCCAATCTAAATAGGCAGTTTTTATTTAGGTAAGTTTTAATATTTTACTGTTTTTTTTTAAACTCTGATAATCATTTGAACTTGAGAACATTGCAGTTTAATATTTTTAAAAAACTACTGAGGGCTTCTGTGAAGTGGGAATTGTGTGAAGTAATTATAAAGTAAATTAAAAACAAAAACAGAAAACTACTGAGAGGATAGTACTAATATTAAAAAAAAACAAAAAACCCAAAACTACTACTCCCATTTTAGGTAAAACTTTGCAAGAAAATTTTGGGGATTCTGGTGATAGTAGTTTTATAAGGAGATATACGTTTTTGTTTTTTCAGAGAAACCTGCTTCCAAAAGTTTATGTGATTTTTTTTTAGGAACATCTTCAGAGTAATTGTGCCCTGAAGATAGGAAAGAGCACAGCTCTTTTCCTCCGATTGATTCCCGAAGAGAATAGTAGCTGGAGTATCAGGCCCTAGTGAGATAGATTGGTGGAGACTTGTGAGCCAAGGTTTGAATGGTGACTCGGGAGCCATGAAGTTGTGAAGGAGTTTGAACTTTTTATACAAGGGGAAAGAAAATGGAGAGTTACAGAGAGAAAACCTAGGACCAATCCAGATGAAACAAAGAGGGATAATTACCGTAGACATCCACGAAATACAGAAAGCATCAAGGAATGGTTTGTTAGAGATGACGTTAAAAACTGGAAGTGGACCATATATGCAGACCTGAGGAAAGGTTCGTTCATGAATTTAATATATAGTATTTAGGGATTTGAGTGACTTAGATGAAAGTGTCTCTTTGTCAGTTAAAGAATATAGGTATGGAGAGATAAGAGACTTTTTCTTCTCTCTCTAGTTATTAGGGTACTGACAGAAAGTGCTCAAATAGTCCTGGGTATGCGGGATAAGGTTGAGTTAGCAGAAAAGGTAACATTACAGTTTTGAACAGGCCCCAAACCTCCATTTTATCTTTGTGTAAGTTCGTAAAGAGACTGAAGTATACATTAAACTAAGTCAAGTTAATGAAATGTTGTAATTGCAATGTGACCTCTGTGTTTAACTTTTGTTTATTTTTTTTTTTTTTGAGACAGAGTCTCACTCTCTTGCCTGGGGTGAGTGCCATGGCTTCAGCCTAGCTCACAGCAACCTCAAACTCCTGGGCTCAAGCCATCCTCCTGCCTTAGCCTCCCAGGTAGCTGGGACTACAGGCATGCGCCACCATGCCCGACTAATTTTTTTTTTTCTATTTTTAGTTGTTTGGCCAATTTCTTTCTATTTTTAGTAGAGACGGAGTCTTACTCTTGCTCAGGCTGGTCTTGAACTCCTGAGCTCAGAACGATCCACCCGCCTCGGCCTCCCAGAGTGCTAGGATTTTGTTTATTTTTTAACCCTTGAAATTTCTCTTTATAGAAAAATTTGTCGGCCATTTCCAGTCTGACAAATTTTGAGTGTGTGACTGTTCTGAAAAAGATACTGCTGAATTGATTGGTTATTGATAACAAGCCATGGCCTTTAATTTGTGGTTAAATGGTTAAAGATGAGTGTTTATGATGTACTAAAGCATTTTCTAAAGTATCTGTATTGTCTCGTTTAATCTCAGAGCAACTCTCAGGGTTGATACTTATTTTCAAGATTAAGTAATCTGGACAAGGTGTGCTTCAAGGATGATGTTTGTGAAAGTCCGTTTTATTTAAGGTGAAGCCTTAGGTGGAACAATACCATCCTGGAATGGTAAATTAGCAGTCTCCACAGAAACCATCCAGTTCTTTTGTTTGGGTTCTACTGTGAAAGCATATGAACTACATGAAAGAGTCTTGGAAGTCTACTTTATCCCCTTTACATACCTAAAGAGATGTCTGGGTGCAGAGTAGTTGAATGCAATACTGAAATCAGGTTCTCCAATTTATAGCAGGGCCTTTTTTTTATACAAGTTAGGACAAAGTGAGAATAAAACACTTATTCAAAAGTTTTGAGTCAAAAAAAACCCCTGTTTCATTAGAAGATAAATTGGCTTGTAAAAGTGTTTTTCTTTGAAATTGCAGGTTTTTCTGAATAAGCACATTTAATTTGTTATTTTCATGTATTTTGAAAACATTTACTCTGTGCTAGATATGAGGGAAAACAGAGAGTAAGAATATGGCCACTCTTTTCCAGGTGTTAATAGTCAAGTTTCTAGTAGGTATGAGAGGCTTGCGTTTAACAAAAAATGTGTTATGGAAACTGTATTGATGAAGCTCTTACTGTGTCTCCTTGAAGGAGCGATTTCTGTGAGAGGAGAATATAGAACTATTAGGAAAGAAAATACCATTCGTACTGAGATTGAAGAGGGAATTCATGTCCTTTTCTCTCTGTATCTGTGGTTGTAGTCTAGGAGTAACCTTTTGAGGCTTCATATTTTTAGCTTTTTGAACATATTGGTAACATTTGCAATTTTAGATAATGCCTTTAGAGTTATTCCCTCTTTAAAAACAGGGTTACAACTTCTTAAGGGACAAAGAATTTACTACTTATTCAGCACACGGAAAGAAGGGGATAAATGAAGGTTCTTGCATCCCTTGAATGAATCTCATGGTACATATTTCAGTCAAGACCTGCATAGTAACTTACACTTTGAGGTTCTGAGGTTCAGGGTGGATACTTTGAAGGCTTTGGGACTGGGATCATTTTTTATACTGAGAAATGCCACAGTGGCCAGTGGCCAGGAAACATGCCATTATTGTGCTCTACCTAGGGATAAATTAACACTATTCAGATTTTCACTTAGGAAATACTTAGACTTATTTAATTTGGATCATCTGAAAGGGTTGACATTTAAAGTTAAATGACTGTTTATCAAAAGTTATCACTGATAGAAAAATACTTAAGTAAAAATGTTTCTTCTAAATATCCTGTAAATAAACTCACTGTGCATTTATTTTTACATTTGAATGTAGTAAAAAATTATGTAGATCATCTAGATTTATGTTGTGAATGATAATTTAAATATAATTTTTCCTGTAGGCCTAAAGATGTTGGAAGACCTAAGGCTGAAGTTGCTGCAGAATTTCTAAATGACAGAGTTCCTAATTGCAATGTAGTTCCGTATCCTTTTGATGAAAAGAATTACTTATTTTTTAAAGCTTTTGTTTTTTTCTTTGTTATAAAAAGAGATGTTTTAACAGAGAATACAGATAAGCAAGAAGGAAAAAAAACAGCAGCAGCAGTAACCTTGTTACTGAGATAATTGCTGATAACATTTTGCTTTATATTCTTCCAATCTTCTTTATGCTTATGTAAATGTTTTTTTGCCCTCATTTTAAAATTAAGCTTATAGAGCCTATGTCATCATCTACCTTTATTTTGCATTATTGCCCTTAATTTCACTGTCAATTGCATATCTTCTTTAGTAGACTGTAAGTTCCTAGGCTAGATCCAATTAATCATTGTCTTCTTACAGTAGCAGACAGAGTAGATTAGTATATTACTAGTATATCAGTATATTAGCCAAATGGAAGGTATGTCAGAGTAAATTTATTTTTAACAGAAATATGTTTTTTAAAAGAAGTATTTACACTTTTATTTTTGAGTTTAGATCTGGAGAAGTTTTGGTGTTTTATAGAAAATCAAGAGATGAGATTTCTATGTAGGAAATCCCACAGAATACAAAATCAGCCTACAAAAATCAATTGTATTTCTATATACTAGCAGTGAACCCATGGAAACTGAAATTTAAATACACAATGCCATTTACAACCACTCAGAAAAATAGTTAGGTGTGTACATCTGACAAGATTTGTGTAGGATATGTACTGAAAACTACAAAATGCTGACGAAAGAAATCAAAGCTCTAAATAAACAGAGAGATATTTTGTCTTCAAACATTGGAAGATTCAATATAGTGAAGAAATCACTTCTCCCCAAGTTTGTATACTGGTATACCACAGTTTCTGTCAAAATCCCAGCAAAAATTTTTGTTGATATAGACAAGATTTTTCTAAAATTTGTATAGAAAGGCAAAGAAATACCTAAAACAGTTCTGAAAAAGAAGAATGTAATGGGAGGAATCACTATCCAACTTCTAGACTTATCATATAGCTACAGTAATGAAGACTGTATGGTATTGTCAGAGGGATATACACAGATCAGTACAATAGAATAAGGAAGCCAGAAATGGCCCCTGAAGTATGGCTAATTGATTTTTTTTTTTTTTTTTGAGACAGAATCTCACTCTTTTGCCTGGGCTGGGCTAGAGTGTCATGGCATCAGCTTCACTCACAGTAACCTCAAACTCCTGGGCTCAAGCAGTCCTCCTGCCTCAGCCTCCCAAGTAGCTGGGACTACAGGCATGTGCCACCATACCTGGCTAATTTTTTTCTATATATTTTTAGTTGTCCAGCTAATTTCTTTCTGTTTTTTTTAGTAGAGACGGGATCTCACTCTTGCTCAGGCTGGTCTCGAACTCCTGAGCTTGAACGATCCACCCGCCTCGGCCTCCCAGAGTGCTAGGATTACAGGTGTGAGCCACCACGCCCAGCCTGGCAAATTGCAAAAAAAGCTCAGTAGAAGGATAGGCTCTTCAATAAATTGTTCTGGAGCAATTGGATATCCATAGATTAAAAGATGAATCTTGATCCAAACTTCACATCTTATAAAAAATTAACTCAAAATAGATCATAGATTTAAGTATAAAACTGTAAAACTTTAGAAGATAACACAGAAGATATTTGGGACCTAGGACTTGGTAGAAAGTCCTTAGACCACATCACAAACATGACCCAGAAAAGGCTGAGCGTGGTGGCGTGCACCTGTAGTCCCAGCTACTTGGGAGGCTGAGGTGCAAGGTACACTCAAGCCCAGGGTTTCAAGGCTGCAGTGAGCCATGATCGTGCCTGTAAATAGGCACTGCACTCCAATGCGGGCAACATAGCAAGACGTTGTCTCGAAAAAAAAATTTTTTTTAAGTGAAAAGCATGAGCCATAGAAGAAAAAAATTGCTAAATTGAACTTCATCAAAATTAAAAACTTGCAAAATTAAAAAGATACTGTGAAGGGGATGAAAAGACAAACTACAGACTGGAGAAAATACTTGTGAAGCAGCTGACAAAGTCATATTTAGAATATATAATAAAATGAACAATCAAAACTTAATGGTAAAAATTCAATTAGAAAATGGACAAAAGATACGAAGGGCTATTTTACTGAAGAGGATGGCAAGAAGCCCACAAAAAGATGTTCAACATCATTCATTTATAAAATAGGGAGTTAAAAAAAAAAAGTTCAGGCTAGGCGCGGTGGCTCACGCCTATAATCCTAGCTCTCTGGGAGGCCGAGGCGGACGGATTGTTTGAGCTCAGGAGTTCGAAACCAGCCTGAGCAAGAGCGAGACCCCGTCTCTACTAAAAATAGAAAGAAATTAATCGGACAACTAAAAATAGGTAGAAAAAATTAGCCGGGCATGGTGGCGCATGCCTGTAGTCCCAGCTACTCGGGAGGCTGAGGCAGGAGGATCGCTTGAGCCCAGGAGTTTGAGGTTGCTGTGAGCTAGGATGACGCCACGGCACTCTAGCCCGGGCAACACAGTGAGACTCTGTCTCAAAAAAAAAAAAAAGTTCAACAGCAAATTAAGAGATATTATTACTCACTTATGAGACTAAAATAAAAAATAGTGGCAATATCAAATGCTGGCAAAGATACAGAAAAACTGGATCACTCATACATTCTGATGGAAATGTGAAATGGTATAGCCATCTGGAAAGTTGTTTGACCATTTCTTAAAAATCTAAGCATACACTTATACGACCCAGTAATTTCACTCCTGGACATGTACCCCAGAGAAATGAACACTTATTATGTCCACATAAAAAAACCCATACACCAGTTTTCATAACAGTTTTATTTGTAATGGCCAAAAATGCTTTCCTGGGGCTTATGGTTTTATATAAAAACTAAAAGTAGAAAGTATATCTTCTAACAGAGACATAAATATAATGATATGGGGGTTCAGGGATGAGAAAATCTAAGTAGTTGGGAGAGGAGTGGTAGAAAAAAAGTTTTGACAGAAAGTAGGGTTGTGTTCATTTAGTCAGATTGCTTGAATCCTGTGCTTTGAACATTGATTACTTATTTCTTGTTTTAAATAAACACTTAGAGTTTGTTCCTTACTGCTTTGTTAAATTCATTGTAGAAATTAAAAACTTAGCAGCCTAAGTTCCTTTACTTGTATTCAGACATTTCAACAAGATTCAGGATTTTAATGACACTTTCTATCGACGTAAGTTATTCACTTGAAATTAAATTCTCACCAAACTCTTGTAGCCTTTTAGTTGCTACCTAGTTGAAGATTGCTAGCTATTTTAAGGGTATTTCTTTGGTTGCTTTCCTATATCACTATTGGCTTTTCAGTAAGGTTTTTGACAGACTAAAAAGAATGCCACTGTTTTAGTTGATACCACTAGCTACATTTTTCTATGCTGACTTGAATAAGAATTACTCAAGGATTAGAAGCTCTAAGTGTGTGTATGTGTGTGTGATTATAAGTGCTTTTTTTGTTTCTAAGTGAATTTTTTTGTGCAGCTTTTTTTATTAATAAATCTTTTTAGACCAGTTTTAGGTTCACAGCAAAATTGAGTGGAAAAATTTTGAAATATTGAGTGCTCATAGAGTTTGCTATTTCCACAAACGCATAACCTTCCTCACTGTGAACATCCTGTACCAGCGTGGTACATTTGTTGTAATTGATGAACCTACATTAAGACATCATTGTGCAACTGCATTTTTAAAAACTAAACTTACTTTTTTTCTTGTAGAATTTCATATTATTGTATGTGGACTGGACTCCATCATAGCCAGAAGATGGATAAATGGCATGCTGGTAAAGACTTTAGTGTTGTTATGTTTCCCTGAAGTTTTTTGCTGCTGCTCTTGACATATCAAAAATTAGAACGGTCATTCGATTTGACAAATCAGAATTTATTTAATTTTGTATTAAGTAGATGTACTTCACTGTTTATTGCCAGTCATTGGTTTTCAGGTGAGGCCACAAATTGTAATATTATAATCCCCTGATTTGATACATTGGTACTCAATAGCACAACTGACTCGTAGAATTACTTGAAAGCGTGCTCCTTTTAAAAAATTCTTATCCCCTTTGCCTTTTAAATCCTTCAAATTATTTTCCTAGATATCCCTTCTGAATTATGAAGATGGTGTGTTAGATCCAAGCTCCATTGTTCCTTTGATAGATGGGGGGACAGAAGGTTTTAAAGGAAATGCCCGGGTGATTCTGCCTGGAATGACAGCTTGTGTTGAGTGCACACTGGAACTTTATCCACCACAGGTAATGAAAAAAACACCTGCATTTATTTTATAGTATCTCAGAATGAAATTAGGGATGAACTAGTAAGTCTAGTCAATATTTAGAATTTTTAATTAGGAATAACTATATTTTAAAAATTATGCTAAGAAGAAAGAGAATTTATTTATTACTACATTCCAGAAGAACTGCTTGAGAAGAAAGATAATTTAAATGAGAAATTTTGCTCGATATGAACTGAATATCATAGTTCTGATACTATTCTGTGTTCTCATACTTCATTTGTATTAATTTTTCATTTACGGAATAGGGATCAAGTGTAATTACAAAGCTATATGTTGAGATAAAGCTATAATCTATTTGGTTTTTGCCTATACTTATTTCAGATTATTTGATAACCTGTTTAGCCCTTTTCTTCTCATTCTGTAACAAAGCTTAAATGTATATACCTTATAATAGGGCAAACCTATCTTTATGGGCAGATCAACCTAAGGGAAGTGACTCAGATGATCCCTATTAGTATTGGGAGCATTTTTAATGGTATACAATGTTTTGCTCATGTAAGTGTAGGGCTAAAGCAAATTATAAGAAACTGTTACAAACTATTTAGCTCTAGGAGACTCAGTTAAAAAAAATAAAATAAACTGTTACAAACTAGATCATAACTAGAAGTTACATGTTAAAATAATTCATCATTTAAAATTCACTAAAAAAGACAAACTTTGTTTTAGGTTAATTTTCCTATGTGCACCATTGCCTCTATGCCTAGGCTACCTGAACACTGTATTGAGTATGTAAGGATGTTGCAGTGGCCTAAGGAACAGCCTTTTGGAGGTAATAAACCTAATTTAATAATCCAGAGTTACATGAAATAGATTTTTTTCTATTTTATTCCTTTGGATAATTTCATCACAAACAAAATACTTTGTGATTACATATTTCTGTCTTCTCCTTTTTTTTTTTTTTAAACAGAAGGCGTTCCATTAGATGGAGATGATCCTGAACATATTCAGTGGATTTTCCAAAAATCCCTAGAGAGAGCATCACTATATAATATTAGAGGTGTTACATACAGACTCACTCAAGGTAAGTTACTGAATTAGTATCTTGGGATGATCCTTTTTTTTAGGGCTAGGGATGCTTTGGGGTAATAATCAATAAGTGATTTTAGGTAGTACCATCCATTTGAGGTTTAGTAAAGGTACCATGGAAATAGTTACCAGGTATCCCAAAGTAGGAGGGAACCAAGTTCAGTGGAATCCATACTACTTCTTAGCTAGGGAGAATGTAAGACAATCACTGAATCTTATTTACTTAGGATTGGAAGAGGCCGTAAGTCGTCCCAAGTCAAACCATCCATTTATCTTTCTTTGAAGAGGAATTCATTACCTCTTGGGGACAGTCTTGTTTCACATTTGACAAGACTATTAGACAATTATTATATAAATTAAGCAGAAATCTTCACCTTTAGTTTGATCTGAGTATTGTCACAGTATCATATATAATCTAATTCCCTTTTAAGTAATAGTTTTTAACATATTGACAAGTGATCACATTGTCTCCAAATTTTTATCACTGCCATAAACCTCCCTGGTTCCTTTAACCTTTTTTTTTTTTTGAGACAGAGTCTCACCCTTTTGCCTGGGCTAGAGTGCCGTGGCATCAGCCTAGCTCACAGCAACCTCAAACTCCTGGGCTCAAGCAATCCTCCTTCCTCAGCCTCCCTAGTAGCTGGGACTACAGGCATGCGCCACCATGCCCGGCTAATTTTTTCTATAATTTTTTTTAGTTGTCCAATTAATTTCTTTCCATTTTTAGTAGAGATGGGGTCTCGCTCTTGCTCAGGCTGGTCTCGAACTCCTGAGCTCAAACAATCCGCCTACCTTGGCATCCCAGAGTGCTAGTATTACAGGCGTGAGCCACTGCGCCCGGCCTCCTTTAACCTTTTGATATGTTGCGCAGCTTCAAGTCCTCATCATGCTGTTTTTCTCTAAGCATATTCCAGTTATCCACACTTCTCTTAACTGTCAAATCCAGAATGCAGCATCTGGCACTGGTTTTAGATCAGTGGTCTCCAACCTTTGTGACACCAGGGACCAGTGCTGTGGAAGACAGTTTTCCCACGGAGGCGAGTGGGGAGGGAGGTTGCTGCTTCTGCTTCATTTCAGATCATCAAGCGTTGGATTCTAATGGGCAGTATGTGACCTGGATCCCTCCCATGTGCAATTTGCAGTGGGGTTCATGCTCCTATGAGGTTCCGATGTGACTGCTGTGCAGAGGGGGTGGGGCTCAGGCGGTGAACAAACAGCTGTGGGTGCAGGTGTCCCCGCCCGCTAGCCTCCTGGGGTGGGGGGAGGTGGGGAAACCCCCGCAGTTTTAGATAATAGACTTCTGATAATTGATGCAGTCTTATAGGAGATAGGTTTTTTTGTTTTGTTTGTTGTTGACACTGATGCTATATTTTTGATTCTTTTTTTTTTTTATTTCAGCATATTATGGGGGTACAGATGTTTAGGTGACATATGTTGCTCTTGCCCCCCCCCAAGTCCGAGCTTCGAGTGTGTTATTTTTGATTCTTTGTCCTCTAAAATCTGAGTGTTTTGTCCACATATGTAATTTCTAAGCCACATGTCTCTATTGTAGATTTGGCAGTTTAGGGGGTACTTTTTTTTTTAATCCAAGTGTAGGTTCTTAGTAATTTATTCTTAAAATTCAACCTGTTGTTCTCTCTTTATGTATATTCTGCCATCTTATCTGGTCTTTCCAGCTTCATTTCACCTGCTGTTTTGATAATCATATCCCTTATTTCTTTTCCAAATAATTTATTAAAATTTTTAACGAGACCAAACTATCTGAGAACAGGCATCTAAATCATACCTCTCGTCAGGCCCTTTTAGGTTTATCTCATTCTGTTAATCACACCTTCTTGAGTACTTTATATTTCTTTATCTGTTCACACGGATGTGATGAAAGACCTTTCCAGGTGCTCTGCTGAAGCCGAGATATAGTATCTTCCACGTTTCTCTGAGTTGCCAAGCTAGTCATAGTCTCTAAATGAGGCCAGTCCAACATGACTTGTCTCAGTGATCATCGTGCTCAATCATAGTGATCAATGCTTCCAGTCTATTTACAGTTCATCCTTTCTAGACTTTTGCCCAAGATCATTACCAGGTTCACCAGAAAGAGCATTGTCATTTTTTTAAAAATCTGCCATTTCTCTTCTGTGATTATTTCCTTGTATTTACTTATGTTCAAGTGATGTCATTTGAAAATTCCATTTATACTCACTCCTTGCTCTCTGCACTACCCCTATGCTGACCTGCTTTGTGTTGCTTGAACACACCACGCTCATTTGCACTATAGAACTGGAGTGCTCATTCCTTGAATCCCCTCAAGGCTGGCTCCTTGTCTTTCAGGTATCTGCTTAACTAAATTCCTGATCATCCAACCTAAAATGACTTTTGAGTCATTCACTAATTTACCTTTTTATAATTGCTTAGAGATAATTAATGGTAGCCTCATTTTCCTATGCAAAGAATATTTCACACTTGCACTATCATATGTCCTTGTTCCAGGACCACTGCCATTGTTATTTACAAAGAAGCTCTTTCCTCAGGTCATTGCATGGCTGGGTCTTTCTCATGGTTTAGGTTTCAGCTCAAATTTTCACCTTCCTAAGGAGACCTTCCTTGACCATTCTATGTAATGGACTGACCCCATCATTGTCACTCTAACACATACCTCATTTTATTTTCTTCATTGAACTCTTCAATATCTGACGTATTTACTTGTGTGTTATTGCCCTCATCAAAATGAAAGCTTTATAACGGCAGATGCTTTTCTTCACCACTACTATGTACAAGAACAGTGTCTGGCATATGGTACACATTTGGTAATTGTTAGAATTAACAAATGAATTCAGTTTGTCCTGATTAGGAAGTATAAACTTATTTCAATATGCAGGTCTCATTCATCCTTCCATACCTTTTACCCGGACTCTTTGTGTACTTTTCAGTCTGATGAATGAGGACCTTGACAGGGAGTATAGAAGCAAAATTGGAAGTGAAGTAGCTTAAGCATACGCATTCTATGATTATTTTCCGTGCTCTCAGTATAACAGAAAAATCTCCTTTCTGCCCACTTCAACATTTTTGATCAGAGGTTAGATGAGGAGAGGAGGGAAAGAGGGGGGAAAGAGAGGGAAGTCTTTATCATTTTGGCAATGCTCTTGTTGGGCAGTGTCTCTTCTTATACACTGTGACCACCAGTTCCTCCTTTCAGGACACCTTGTTATATGTGGTTCACTGGAGAGCTTCCAGTTTAACTATTATGAGGTTTAGCTCTTCTCTATTTTCCCTCCTCTGAAACCACACAGAATCATATGGTCAGAATCAACTTTTTAAAAAAGTTTTCAGACCTTCTTAACTTTCTTTCATGTCTTCTTAGATATTTGCCTTTTTTTCCCCTCAGGCTTTTGAAACCTTACATCTGGAGTCTTGGGAGCACATTTTGGGGTGCCTCTTCACACTCCCAAGATAATATGGCTACTTTTTTCTGAAATTTTTGTCTTCTAAAATGAACAACTTAAAGATAGTTATAAAATGGAATATTTATTTGTACTTAAAAATAGTTTAAGGTGGGGCTTTGTTTATTCTTAATATGTGAATACTGATGTGAAAAATGTGGGGTTGAAACAGAGAACTATGTTTAGTATTTTGTGTAGCCGAGGTTGTAAAATAAAAGATGGTAAGGGGCAGTTTTTCTTTTTCCTGTGATTTCTGTGAATCAAGTGGCCAAAACTATTATATGAGGAATAATTAGGTAACAATATTCATGACGTATGCATTTAGAGTATGAACTTTGAGGCCTATCTGTGTTCGTATACCACCCCTAGCACTTACTAGGTGTATAGCTGTGGATAAGTTGTATCTCTTAGCCTCATTTTCCTTACCTTTAAAAATCAGAGTAATAAGACAAATATAAGGCTGTTATGAAAATTAAAGTTTCTCATTTATTCTTCACACTATGCATGGAACACAATAAACAGTCTAAATTGTTAGCTATGATTATTATGTTCTTGTTTAACCTTTATATAAAGTTTACTTGAAAGAGTTTTCTTTGCTACTGTAACTTAATAATCATACTTTCTAATTTTACTGTTTTTTAAAAGAAATGACCATGTTTTAATATATTTTTTTAGGGGTAGTAAAACGAATCATTCCTGCAGTAGCTTCCACAAATGCAGTCATTGCAGGTAAGGAAAAAAGGCTGGCACTTGGTTTCTTTTCTTTCCTTTGGTTTTTGATTCAGTATCTAAATTGACCTTTCTGTAGCTACTTGTGTTCTAGGAACTCGATATCTTCTTGGGTGGGTTGCGTAATTAAGCTGTCCAAAAAAGAACAAGCTGTTGGTCTTTGTATATTTTTTATCTTACATTGTGTCTTAGTTTTCTGCAGTAAAGGGACATTTTAGCACCATTTCTTTTTAATCAGTATAGCAGGCTATTCATTAATCTGATAAAGAGGAAGAAAAACATGTAATGTTACTATTTTACTTGAATTACACAAAAGAAATATAAAATTTGTTACTTTCTCAGTTTCTAAAAATAATATGTATTTTTTAAATCAATAGCCATTGTAAATTTTTCTGTTCTGCTTTATAACTGAGTTTTTAAGTGTCTAATTTTCATTGAGTTAAAGCACCTTTATTTTCTCCCCTATTCAGCTGTGTGTGCCACTGAGGTTTTTAAAATAGCCACAAGGTAATGGGTTTCATTTTTAATATGTATGCAAGACCATATTTTGACCTGGCTCAATTATATAAAGATGAACATTTTTTCATTACAGTGCATACATTCCCCTTAATAATTACTTGGTATTCAATGATGTAGATGGGCTGTACACTTACACATTTGAAGCAGAGAGAAAGGTTAGTAGTATTAAATAATGAAAACATTTTTGATCATGTATACTTTGATTTTTAAATATTAATTATTGTTTAGAAATTTGGACAAAATAACCCACACCCTAAATATTTTTCTACCTTCAGAACCCTACTTATTGTATATCTATTGTTGTATAGCCTGAAATAAATACTATATAATAAAGTCATTTAGAAGAAATGGTCTGTTGTAAAAAGCAGGTTTTAAAGCATAAAATTTTTTTCACAGGAAATATGCATGATTATAAAACAACTTTATCTTCATTTCATTGTTTATGAAGAGAATAGTATTGGTGCATGTGCTGCTATAATTTGCTGTGTTTTATGTATGTAGGAAAACTGCCCAGCTTGTAGCCAGCTTCCTCAAAATATTCAGTTTTCTCCATCAGCTAAACTACAGGAGGTTTTGGATTATCTAACCAATAGTGCTTCTCTGTAAGTGTCCTAGATTCACCTTATGTTGTTAAAATTATTTTTAATGATTTTAAAACTTTAAACATAATTTCTTTTTATAAAAATGATGTTTGATATTTTTTTCTCATGATTATATTTAGGCAAATGAAATCTCCAGCCATCACAGCCACATTAGAGGGAAGAAATAGAACACTTTACTTACAGGTGATCAATGATCATTTTTTATTTTTTTTGGAAAATTAGTTTAATTTCACTTTAATATGCCTTACATTAAAATAATTTTGTTTCTAGTCAGTAACCTCTATTGAAGAACGAACAAGGCCAAATCTTTCAAAGACATTGAAAGGTATTTTAAATAAGTATATTTACTAATAGTTTTCTTTTTTTTTTCCATTTTCCTTTTTTTGGTAAAAGTAATAAATGCTTGTTACAGATTTCCTCTTAATGCCTTTATATGTGATCAGATCATAATTATTTATATCTTTAGAAATGATAATAGAATTAATCACTCTTTTAGCAAGAATATTAAAAAAATCTCTTAAGAAATCAAATATTACCTTGGTCAAAGAGAACTAGATTTTCATGTTTATTTAGACCATTCATAATACTCTATAGTTTGTGTATGTGTGTACTGTTATCTTTTTTGTTGAGTTTTTTGCTTGGATTAATTATGTTTTTTCTATTTTAGAATTGGGGCTTGTTGATGGACAAGAACTTGCAGTTGCTGATGTCACCACACCACAGACTGTGCTATTCAAACTTCATTTTACTTCTTAAGGAAAATAAATCTGCATATAATAGAAAACTTATGGAAAAATATACTTCACAGATGCTAAGAAGTTTAATTGATGTCATTTTTAGCAGTAGTGTTGCTGGAATTTGACCTTTTTTATATGATGAACCACTCTTTTTTAACTTTATAACTTTCCCTTGAAGACAGAATTTTGGGGTTAGTGCTTGTAAGCATTTTCATTAATAATAAGGGAAGCGATGGCTGGAGAGAGCGATTATGAGAAAATGTATTGCTTCTTTTGGAGGAGGAGGCAAACACCCTCTTGTGTGTGAATTTTGTTATTATGGTCAAAGAGTGCATTCCTCAGCTTTCATTTGAGGACCCACATATACAAAAGATGTCCCTTTAAAGAAAATAAGGAATTATGTTTTAAATAACATTAAATATTACAGCCTGACATCTGGAGTATATTGAACATAGGCTATATCTTGACTTAATATTCATTTAATTGTGGTTGTCCAAATGAATATTAATTATTGCAAAGTTTATCTTGTCCACAATAACTTGTAAAATGGTGTTATAGCTGAATAACTGAGCATGAAAATAGAAAATATTTTCATGTGTTTATTTGCAGTGCCATAGAGGCCAGTATGCACAATATTAAAACCAAGACATGGCTGTTTAAAAGTTTAATGTTTAAACAGTTATCACTGATGCTTTTGCACTATTTATTAATAAAATCATATATTGTCTACTTTTGTCACTGAAATTTTTAAAAGTATATAAAGGAAAATAAGTAGTTCCATAGTAATGTAGGAATCATTTTTAAATGTGTAGCAGAATTACATAACACCAAATTTTTATTACACCTGAATTAATACCTTTGTTACAGTGGTTTCTACAGTAAAGATCTAGTGGTTTAATTTAACTTGCTCTAACATAGCAATGTAATGAAATGAAATGAAAATGCCTTTGTTTCTTGTAAATCACTAAGACATAAAACAAAATTAAGCTCAAGGACTAAAAAACTGGGTTCTAATATTTTAATGTGAGAACATATAGTACATGTTTTCATTCTTTGTTTTTGACTTAGATGATAGTTTTCTATTCAAAAGCTCTGTGGTTACCTGTCACTGGATTAAGTTGCTACTTAATTATTCTTCCTAGCTCCATATTGACAAATACTTTAAGTATCATTATAAAAATATATGGGATAAATATATATGCTTTACCTAAAAAGTTACAGATTCAGCCTAAAAAAAAAAATCCTAAATTTTTAAAAGTGAAGGAACTAACATTTAGCACCTCTCTACAGAAGCTATAATAATTGTCAAAGTTGCCTTGTGAGAAGGTGACAATATCTCCATCTGAGAGCTGAATAAATAGTTTTAGAAGGTTTAGCTCATTTAGCCAAAGCTGTATAATCAGAAGTCTTGGAACCATAATTGTACAGCTAATTCCAACCCTAATCTGCTCCAAAACTCCTCCTCAGGCTACTTAGCTAAACTGTTTGAAAGTACATGAGTTATTTAGTATTACTCATGCAAATTACTACATTGTAAGAGTTTAATATGCAAATTTTTACTGTAGTTAGATAAAATTATTGGAAGGTAATCATAACTTAAGGGTTTCAAGCTGACTTTTTAGAAGAAAAATAATTTTTTATGGCATAGTTCCTTGCATTGGGGTGAAATACTCATATAGGAGGCAGACATGTAAAGTAAATAACCATAGCAGGAAGGGTGTAAGAAGATGATTGGTAGGATCTGTGGCAAACTGATGTGAGTGAAAATTATCAAAAGGGGTGACTGGCCAGGCATGGTGGTTAATACCTGTAATCCCAGCATGTTGGGAGGCTGAGGCAGGAGGATTGCTTGAGGCCAGGAGTTCAAAACCAGCCTGGGCAACATAGCGAGACAATCTCTACAAAATATTTAAAAATTATCTTTGTGTGGTGGTGTGAACCTGTAGTCCTAGCTACTTAGAAGGCTGAGGCAGGAGAATCTCTTGAGCCCAGGAGTTCAAGTTGCAATGAGCTATGATCATGCCACTGTACCTCCAGCCTGGGCAACAGAGCAAGACCCTGTCTCACCTAAAAATAAAAAGGGAAGTGGGCAACCACTCCAGCTGACTGTTCCCATGTTGGTACTCATTTTTCAAAGCAAATGGAAATCTGAATTTTTGTATGAAATCTGGCTTTTAAATGTTGGTAGAATTTTGTCTTTAAGATTATCGGGGCCAATCCAAACATAGCTGCTGATTGGATTAGGAATGCCGCCAATTTAAGATTTCTTCCTAAAGCCAAATGTTTGGAGAGAGTGCACACAGCAAAGGTTATATTTTAAGTAATGTGCACAATACACATTGATAGGATAGTAGTTTTAGTGCTTCCTAGCTGTCTTATTCCGTTTGGACTGCTACAACAAATTACCATAAACTGGGTGGTTATAAACAACAAATGTATTTCTTACAGTTTTAGAGGCGGGAAGTTCAAGTTGAAGGCACCAGCAGATTTGGTGTCTGGTGAGGGCCGCTTTTCTGCTCATAGTTGGAGCCACCTTGCTGTGTTTTCACACGGTGGAAGGGACAAAGAGGCTCCCTTGGACCTCCTTTATAAGGGCTCCAAATCTTATTCATGAGGGCACCATTATCATCTAATCACCTCCTAAAGGCCCAACCTCAATACTGTTGCGTTGGGGATTAGGTTTCAACATACGAATTCGGGGGGTGGACACGAACACCATAGTATTAACATTAGGTTTGTTTTGACTGGAGCAATGTATGTACTACTGTTTTGAGGAGCAGGTTATGCCTTCTGCACCATGTGTTCCAGGGTTTGGGTGCAATGTCCATATGTGAGCCCCAGTGTTTTAGGCAAGCCCAAACCAGGCTTTCTCCTTTAGGTCAAGTTAACAGAACTGATTAAATATTTAAGACAAAGTGCTAAGAGAAAAGCAAAACCCAAACTTCCCTTTGCAATTATTTATCACGTCAACTATTTTCCTGGAAAGCGCACACATAAAACTCGCTTATTCCTCCCGAAGGATTCGGCCTCTGTTAGCAGCCCTGGCTGAAAACTGCTGTAAACGTGAACTCGGTCAAGGTAAACCGTTCCGCATTCCTCGGTAGCTAAGGGCAACCCTGGGCTTCCGGATGTGACGTCAATGTTCCTGTGTCTTGTTCTTCCGTCTATCGACGGAACTCTGGGCTCCCGGATTTGGTTGTTGTGTACGTGGAAGAAGCCAGCGCATGCGCACGCAGGGCCCTCCGTCTCAGCTGTGCGGGAGGAGTTGAGGGTAGGGTCCCCGGTTCGGGGGAGCCTGTTGGGGTCATGGCCACGCGCTGACAGGGCCAGCCAAGCGGAGAAGGGGGGCAAAGCCGTTCTTCTGCCCCTGTCCCCGGGCCTGAGGCCTTCCCGCTTGGTGCTGTTGCTGCCACTGCCGGCCGAAGAGGGGCGATGAGTTGGTTCAACGCCTCCCAGCTCTCCAGCTTCGCTAAGCAGGCCCTGTCCCAGGCGCAGAAGTCCATCGACAGGGTCCTGGACATCCAGGAAGACGAGCCGAGCGCCTGGGCCGAGACCATTCCATACGGAGAGCCGGGTAAGGGAGAGAGGAGCGGGGTCCCTGGGCTCCCGCAGGCTTCTCTTCTCCTGAGGCAAACAGGTTAAGTGGTGTAGAAGGGGGGTCATTCTTCGCTGAGAGAGTTCCCAGGAAGTAATTTTCCCCGGCCCGTTCCTAAATGCTGCTTTAGTCTCCAAGTCTGTCTTTGCTGTTTTCCTGAGGGAAAATCCGGCTCCAGGTTCCTCCTTGCCTTTGGCCCTCGTTGCGGGTCCTGCAGACTTCAGTGACACGGATTTGATTTGTTGTTCTTGTCCCCAAGCCCTCCCTCAACTCACCTCCCAAACACAACCTTCCTGAACCTCGAATCGCTTCGCGTCTCGGGCACTTTTGGATCTAAGATCTAAAGTATGTAAATTATCAGCGAAGGAAAGAACAATCGCTAACACTTAATGAGCACTTGCGTGCTTGGTAGCGCATAATGTCCTTTTTTATGGCTTTCTTATCTTCAAAACAACTCCTCGAGTTAGGTGGGTTAATATCTGTGTTGTGCAGAAGAGAAAAATGCGGCCCAGAGTGGCCAAGTAACTTGCTCTAGTTCACACAGCGGTGAGGTGCAGAATATACTGGAGATAATACCGGTAGAATCTGTAGCCCAAGCTTTTTGGATTGTATCAAATTTTTATTTCTGAATAGCTAAGTCTGTCACATTCCTGAAAGTTTATTCTTTCAGGCGTCTTCAGTTACTTTGGTCTCTTAAGTCTAAGGAACAGTTTAGCATTTTGATGTGTGGGATAAACATTTGCAGGTTTGGAGAGTGTGACCCTTTTTGTGAAAAAGGATGTTATTCTTGGCTACTCTTCCTCGTTCTAATTTTGCATGAGTAAAAAGTCAGGACCTAATTTGAGGTACCTCATTTTAAGATATTTTGGTGCATGTCTTGATCTCATTACTTTTTACAATATATTATGTGACCTCGCTGGGCAAACTCAACTTGTTGTTTCATATGTACCCCACATTTTGAATTACTACACTTTAGAGATAGAATGTAAGTTTCAAATATAAGGATACTTGTTTTCTGAAACAGGTTATCCAAAATATCCTAAAAGTCAGGTTTTAGTGAAATGCCATAAATGTTTATTGATCACCTGCTATGTTTTAGATTACAAAAATGACCATAGTCTTCAGAATGGAATAATTTATTTATTTATTTTTTGTTGTTGTTGTTTTTATTTTTTGAGACAGAGTCTCGCTCTGTTTCCCTGGCCAGAATGAGTGCCGTGGCATCAGCCTAGCTCACAGCAACCTCAAACTCTTGGGCTCAAGCGATCCTCCTGCCTCAGCCTCCCCAGTATCTGGGACTACAGGCATGCGCCACCATGCCCGGCTAATTTTTTCTATATATTTTTAGTTGTCCAGATCATTTATTTCTATTTTTTTTAGTAGAGACGGGGTCTCGCTCTTTCTCAGGCTGGTCTCGAACTCCTGACCTCGAGCGATCCTCCCGCCTCGGCCTCCCAGAGTGCTAGGATTACAGATGTGAGCCACCACTCCTGGCCCAAGTCAAAGTAATTTTAAAATATAAATTTCTAATGGTTATGGAGGCATAATGTTGATTTATTCTAATGCAGAATTTCTTAACCTTTATGTACTGACATTTTGGGCTGAATAATTCTGTGTTGTGTGGGACTGTCCTGTATATTATAGGATGTTTAGCAGCATCCCTGGCCCCTATCCATGGCATTCCAATAACACCCTCTTTCTTGCCAGTTGGGATAGTTGAAAATGTTGCCAGACTTTGCCTAATGTCCCCCTGGTAGCATAGTCACTCCTGGTCCAGAACCATTGTTCTAATGCTTCTAATTTGGAACAGTTGCCTATTTCAGAAATTGGAAACAACTAAGGTTAGTAATTGCTTGCATCCCAACTATTACTATTAATAATAACATTGTCTCAGCATTTGGCCTCTCTCAATTAGATTGCCTTACCCCTTGACTGGTGTTAATTGTTAATTTATAATTTTTCTGTGTGTACTCTTACAGAAAAGAAATAGGTCATACACTTCCATCTGTTTGGTTGCTTTAATTAACTGGCTCATTTCAGACAGTAACAGTAACCTGAGACTACTGAAGTACCTAACCAATGCACCTCTTCCTGTACCTAACTGTACTGTGTCGTTCCAAATGTAATACTTAGCCTGTAGAAATATATGTGTAGAGATAGTGAAGAAGGCTATTGAAAGTTAAATTATTCTCATTTATATTTCCGTGTTAAAACTTGCTTATGTATCTGAATTTAAGTTTCATATGTCATATTCGAAGCTCTTTTCTTTGTCTTAGTTAACCAAGGCAGTAGGTTAACTGAACAAAAGTTACAGATTCTTGTCAGGAATGTGATTATGATGGCTTCTTTGGATGGGGAAAAAAAAATCTGAAAAATATACCTCAAATGAAAATAATTCTTTATGGTATTCACAGATTTTTTTTTTTTATTAGGAAGTCAAAAGTATAAAAGAAGAACTTGCCACTAGATTAAATAGTAGTGAAACTGCAGACCTTTTGAAAGAGAAAGATGAGCAGATCCAGGGGTTAATGGAAGAAGGTATGTAAAGTATTTAGTTGATTATGAAAAATATTTTAAGAACAGGAAAAGTACTTGCCATGTGACTAATTGATGTTTCCCAATGAAAACTATTCAAAGCAAGGAAGGTTTGTACTTAAACCATAGAAATAGTAGGTGACAGTTTATGGAAGAATGGGGAGTAAGATGTAATGAGACAGA